TGGCTAAAAATTGAGGTAAAACATTTTATGTGATTTTTATACTTGGTAATTGGAACTCTTTCATATTAATGATAAGTAGAGCATATAAGATATTATTTTATAAGGGAATAGCTTAGAATTCCCAATCTGTTAAAACAATACACATAGATAATTTATTATAACCTAAGCCTTTGTATGTTTCATATATTTTGAATCACTTTTAGGTACAAATATTCAGAAATTTATATATTTTGTTCTATAAATTATACATTATTAATAAATTAAAAAAAATATAAAATTACTTAATATTGTTTTAATTAGAAATAATAATTTTCCCATATAAAATAAATATTATAATGTTTAATTATTCTATATTCTATATTCACACTATACATTATTTGTATACCCCTTTTCCTGGAACTTCTGACCACTACGACTCTGACTTAATTAAGCACTTGTCTGCATACATTAAAAGCTGCCACTGTCGCTGTCCTTTGCCATCCTGATGCTGTTCTCTTCTCGCTGCAGCTTCTTCATTTTCCTTATTTTGCCCAAATACAAAAGCCTATTCCGCACCGATAACTGCAAAACACAACAACGGCAACAAACACTGGGCTAACAGCAACAGCAGCGGCAACTTGGCCAGTTGGCTGTACTGGCTGTGTTGGACAGGAAGCGTTAGGAAGCGTCAGGACATGCAGCCAGCTACTTGCACTCATGTAGATGACTTGCTGCTCCCCGGCGTTTCCGCTCACTTCCCTTATATATGTATGTATGTATGTATATATGTGTGTGCGAGAAACAGGAGCAGCAACAACAGCGCACAATTATAAATCTGTCCACACACAAACACATACAGACATTGGCGGAGGTCCGGACCCCCCTTTTTCGGACATGGACGTTGGACTACTACTACTACGAGTACGATAATGATGATGATGATGATCATGATGATCATGACGATGACGACGCTACGGCTGCTTAAGTTTTTGGCATTAACAAAGCTACACCAGCCACACCCGCCCCAAAAACTGTCCACCCCCCCCTCGGGCGCCATGAAACCAGAACGGAAACCGAAACACATACACACACACTCAGTCTCACTGATACCAACACGTTGCCGGAGTGGCTGACAACACCATACCAACACCAGTGCAATGTCCTTGCCAACGCTGCCAAAACCGCCTTGGAAAATTAGCATCAAACGCATAAAATGACCAAGTCTAAGTCTGCCGCAGTGCGGGGCGGAAGAGGAGGGTTTTAGAAAACGGGGTTTTCAGTGGGGCTTTCAGAGGGGGAGGCAGGGGTAGGTAGCCAGCCTGCTGCCTGGGCCTTGCATTCTCATTTGGAATTACGAAAATTCAAAATTTACAAACGAAAATGTTATGAGAACGTAGCTTGGGCTAGGATTTTCCCTCGTCGCCGTCTTTGCCTGCTGCTCCCTGCTCCTGCTCCTGCTCCTGCTACTCCTTCTTCTCTTGGCCATGTCTCCGTCTCCGTCTCCTTGGTGGAGTGACGCACAATAGTTGGTTAGTGTTGCCGGCATGGGGCACGGGGCACTGGCTTGTCCCGGGCTCAAAGCTCGGTTTGGGTATCCCGGGGTGGCCATGCCGTACAAGTTAATTCAGTTAAAGGACCCAAAAAGTCTGGTGTGCATTTTCGGCTATACAAATGAAGGAGGACCGGGCGGGAGGAATGGGAGGAGCTTTGCCTAGGCGTGTATTAGTATGCGTAGTTAAGTTCTGACGCCAGGACCTCCTCGCTCTCTCTCTTCTTTTGGGCGGCGAAATGCGTTGCGGTGGTGCGGGTCCGAAGGAACTTTAAGTAAATGAACAGAAATGACAGGCAGACATTTGCATTATTATTAGTACAAGTTGCAGTCGTGTTTTTGGGGGTGGTTGGGTGGTGGTGGGGTGGCTTTCTGGTCGGGTGGCTTTGCCTGCAAATGCATTTCATTGCATACATTTAGGAGGTTTTCATTACGTCGCAAAAGTTCCCGATTCTCTCTCTTTCTCTCTCTCTCTAGCTTTGGCATTTTGTTCATGTAAGTTTTCGGTTACGTGTTTCGCCTACTCGTCGCTCTATGTGTTTGTGTGTGAGTATTCAAAAGTCATTCCAAGTTATTGAATGGAATAAAATGTAATTTAAGTAAATTAGAATTTCAGCCGCATAGCAAAATTGTTGATCCAGGTATGCAGCCCGAGTATATATACGGGCTTTTAGCCAGCAAAAGGCTTTTCAGTTCTGCATTCCCACTCTTTTTGGCTAACAAAATGCCTTGCACATATCGATTATTGATTTGGGGCCCTGGGTTTTTGAAGGTCTATAGGTGGGCGGAGATTTTAAAGTCAAGGAAATGATTGGTTTTGATTTTATGTAATATATATTGTGTGTAAAAATTACTTCTAAATATTAAAAACTAATAAGTAAATCCAAGAAATGAACCTCAAATCCACTAAGTATCAGTTACCCAATATTCCCAAATTCCTAACCCTGACTAGCTTCCACCCAGGACCTTAGCAATATTCCTCCACACCTTCAGTAAGTCAAAACTTGGCTTGCAATTGACCATCGCTCCAGGTCCCATTGTGCCCAGCGGGTGTTGGTACAGAAACCCCCTTTTCCGGTTGTCGTCTGGCCAGGATCTACCAACGTACACGTAACACCCACCACCCACCCCACCTACTCTCGCTCTCCTCCCGCAATTGAAGCTGCTTACCCTTGCCACCGGCTATGATTTTTTGCACTGCCATTTTTAGCGCTTCAACCCCTCGAATCCCCCCCCGCGAAATTCCTTTATTTTCGCGTAAATTCAGCGAGCAACTTTCTCATACATTTTTTTCGGTTTCTGTCGCTTGACCAAATGGTCGCCACCCAACTGCCCCCGAGACGACTTGCAGAGGAGGGTGGACTATTCACCAACCCCCACCTACCAACCCTTTGGACTGATTATGGGTACGTGCACGTTGGAAAAATGTGCAGCGACGAGAGAGTCAGTCCCCTTGGCTTCCCCTTATTCTGTATAGACACATATACATATATATATATCCATTGGGGTCCTACTCATCCTGCCGCCTTCACATGCGCCCAAAAGTTTGTTTTGTGTTTTGTTAATTTTTTCTTGGCCGCGAATTTGTTTTCATTTACGTTTTTGCATTGCACACGGGAAACGTGGGACCACCTCTCTCTTCAGTTTTTTACCATTTTAAATACTCTTAGAGAGGGTTGTATTGTATTGTTGGGGCGTTTGTAAGGATATTAATATTATGATTAAGTCTTTTCTAAGAGTCTCTTCCTGTATAGCCCTTGAGTTTCGAATCTTTTGTGTACTCTCTCTTACGCTTTGCCTGCAATGAACAGTATAACAGTAGCTTTCTCTCTTTTTCACGCTTTGCCTGCAATGTACTAGATGTGTTTCTCCGCTGCCCCATGGGAGAGTTTGGTATTTTCATTCTCCTATATTAATTAGGTTGTTTTTTCTTCTTGATCTTTGGAGAGTTTTAGTTGATGGTCAATACAATATTATAAATTATATAATATATTTTTAATATTTGACTGGCAAGGGTATTCCAAGCTTCACCTACTCTCACTTGCTTTGTCTTCTTGTTCCCCTCGAAGGATACTCTCTGAGTGGGTTGTGTGCCTGTGTGTGTGGCTGGGGGGGGTGGTTCGAAAACAACGCGCGGGTTTCGGTTCACTGGAAATTGGTAAAAAACGATGCCCACGAAGAAGTTGGGCTGCAGGAGGACGTCGCCATCGCCATCGCCATCGTCAGTGCCACCTTAAGCCGCACACCCGAGCGTTAAAAACCAAACCAAACCCCAAACGACGACTGCCACCCCCTTTGCCATTCGCATTTTTATTCGTGGGTCTCGCTGGGTCTGGATGATGCTCAGCTGTTCATTTTTATTATTTTGACCATTATCGCGTGTGGTTCGTTGCTTTGGTCAGCAGCCACGGACGCTGGCCGTTTGTTCGAGTCCTGCTGATTAAACATTAATTAAGGAAAACAATGCTCCTGCTGCTCCTCTTTCCCTCTCTTTCTCTCCCACTTGTGCTCTCTCTGTCACTTTTTTGCCACTCCTCCAGTTCAGCCAAAAATAAAAATAAGAACAAGCTCGCGGAATTTGTATAAAAATGCAAAATTACGAATTTCGCGAGTTTCGTATTCGCCTCGCATGTGTACAAATGTACAAATGGGTGTGTGTGTGTGTAAAAAGGGGATGACTGGGACAAAATAAAAAAAATATATAGCTTAAATCGCCATAAAAAGTAGTAGAAAAATCATCGACAGACGTAATAAATTAAAAATATACTGTGGTGTGAGGAGACAGGCTTGGATTGTTAAGCAAAAGCAAAGGAAGACCCCTAGGAGAGAGGGGTTGGAGGCCAGGTTAGCCTAAGGGTTGAAGCTAAAACATGTCCAGGTGACACTAAAATATATTTGTGAAAGTCGAAGTAATTATTAGAAATTTATTGTTTATATTAGAAACTGTTTTTAACCTTGAAAAAGCTTAGCCTAAGGCAATAATCCCCCAAAATTAATATTTATAATTTCCCTCAAATCTCTGAAAGTGTTTAAATAAACTACAAATAGACAAGTCAACACCTTGCAGGTATTTACTAACCATAAACTTAACTTTTCTGCAATTAACCCAACAAACTGGCTAATCAACTTGCCAATTATGTAGTATATTTTCCATTTCATGTCACCACCTGCCCTGACATAGTTTCTGCCACTGCCACAGGCTGCTTGGCTATTTTCAATGAGCAAATATTAAAATTCAAATCACGTATTTGCCTTACTTGGCTCACACACACACACACACACACACACAATGACCCTTTTATCCTGGCAAACGCGCATGATAATGCATTTTGTGTGAGCAAATTAAAATCTGTCATTGCATACAATTATGCTGACACAGACATGAATTAGAACCTTGAATATTGTCATAATTACTTTGAAAATTATGTCAATTACCAGTCAAAGGAGATGTTGAAAGGATGTCAAGTCGATGTCATAATAAAATAAGCTTTAATTCCGTTTAAAAATATATTTAATTTCAATTAAAAAATATATAATTGAGTTTGTAAAAATTAAAACTGCAAAACTCTTAATACAAACTCCAGAGATTTTCTAAAAAGTTGATCAGCTTTTGCCAGATGGACTTCGGTGGCGGCACAGGAGTATAATTATATATATATATAATTCCCACAATTAATATTACAAGGCCAATGATTATAAAACTAATGGGAATAATCCAAAACACCATTGAATTTGGGTTTGGCTCTCGAGTGGGAAAACAGTCCTCTGACTTGACTTTGTCTTTATAGATACCAAAAATTTTAACGGAATTATTCTGTATGGTATCCTGGGCATGCTCTTTTGATATAGTTGGGTACTGAGTGGGTATCCAGTCCTTTGGATTGCCTTTGTTTTCATAGTGTAGCAAAATTTTGTTGAAATAGTCCTGAGACTTTTGTATGGTACTCTTCGGGGAAGGCTCCTTAGCTAAGCTGACAATTTGGCAACTAGATCCTGTAGATCCTGCGGCATTCAATTGAGTTTGTTCCAATTCAAGACACTTTTGCAAAATGATTGCACTGAAGGCAGATAGTTTTTTAAATTTAAAGAGATCATTGGTCGATGTTTCTTGGCATCTGACGGTTTTAGTGCCATATCTTATTAACTCGGTCTGCTGAAAAGATCCATTGTCGTCGGGTCCTGCCAGTTTCATAGCGTTAAAATCCTTCCAGTTAAATGATGCATCTTCAGTTTGTTTCTCCAAATAAAGATATTCAGCCAAACTTTGACCGCTGGGTCGTTCATAAACACTTGGCTCAGAGTCCAAGTATAGTGTTACCTGTCCTTGAACACTATGCCATATAGATAAGTTATCATTTTGAGTTGCAGTATCATAGCTATTCTGTAAAGTGAAATCATCTTTATTCCTTGGTTTTGGTTCTTCTTCAGTATTTCTTAGAGTAGAAACATCCTGATCGATATTATCCTTGGTTTCCTCTGCGTTGCCTGCCTTTTTGAGCATTCTCGGCGAACTTGGCTTCTTTTTACCAACATTATCCATCTTTTGCACTTTGTATGGATAAGATGGGTATGGTTTTCCAAGAGAGTTTTTAATCTTGTCTAGCACACCGCTTTTGTCAGTAATCGTAACTAGGTCTGGTTTCATAATCGTCGAAATTTTTGATTTTGAATTGGCTATAACTGGTTTCTTGGTTTGGTTTGCAGATTTTCTTTCATCAATCGAGTCTTGAGTTGTTAAAGGCATATTGCTTTGATCAACTGGTTGAAAATTGAGCTAGCGTTTTCCCTGAAACAAAATAATAATACCTAAACAAATTTGAGAGAAATTTATTCACTGCCTTACCAGTGCTGTGATAATTTCGATCTTACTAGCTTCAAACTAGATTTGAAACTGAATTGAAGAGCTAGTCTTGTCAGTAAGGTAGAGGATTTTAAAAGCAAGGCTTACTTAGTAATAGAAGAATTTTATAGATTTTTAGATGCTTTTAAAATTCTCGTTATATTCCCCTAAATGGATCATTGAACAACTAGTATACTACAAAACTTATGTCTTCCTTTTCTGCTTGTTAGCTGTGCACACTCAACATCTCGGCTGCCTGCCAAGTTCAGCCACCTGGCCGCACCTGCACTTTCTTCGGCGGTGACCTCCAATCCAAATTGCTGTTCATTTACACAAAATGAAATTCGTGCAATTAAGAACGAGCTGATGCTGCTGCTGTTTCTGCTGCTGATGGCGATGATGATGACGATGGTGGTGCTGCTGTGCTGTTCCCAGCAGGACTCACTTACCTGCCTCCTTGACCTCCAACCCGTGGTTCCCACGTTCACGGAAGGTAGCCAGGGTTTCACGCGCTTTGGCGGTCGCATCCTTTGCCTGCTGAGAACACCGGTGGTCCTTTGGCATCTTCGTGCAGCTCTTCATTTGCATCCCAGCAAGGCTGCCCTTCATTATATGGGCCGCTGGCAGGAAGCAGCGTAAAATAGGTTAGAGGTTAATTTTAGTGCAAAGTTATGCGCCCGAAAGTATGCAATTAGATTGTGCCCCAGCCAGGAGCAGGCTTCCTGTGATCCTGCCGCATAGTCAGAGAGGCGAATATGGCTTATTTTCAGCTAAGGCGGGTGTTGGCGACGACTTATATATGTTTTAAAGATATTTTGAGTATTTTTTCGAACTTTTCGTAAAATTTGATATATCGAAATTTAAAATATTGAAAAAAAATCCTATTAATTATCGAAAATATATCGAATAAATGTTATAACCTCCATTAATTTAGATTTAGCAATTATAGTTCAAATGAAGCTCCAGAAATATTTCCTAAATATGAAAGATAATATTAAAGTATCGCAGATATATCGCAATATTAAATATCGATTAATATATCGCTTTTCGCATATCGATATAATACTATTTTTGGCCTTTCCACCGCACAAATGTCTCTCTAAAAATTAAGTAATAAATAAACAATTTGATTTAAAATATTTCAATGTTTTCAAATGAATTTTAATTTTAGCTGTGGATTCTTAGCTATTTGTATAATACATAGTTGCCACCACAGCTGTGCATCTGGCCCCACTTTTCCGCCCCTCAGGAGCTGTGTGTCAATTTTGTTTGCCTGCAATTAGTTGCTGGGCGAAGGGCAGGACTTCATGGGGTGAAATAAATTCTGGAAGGCAGACTGAGAGCATGCAAAATGTAATTTTCTCATTAGGAAACTTTATTTTTTTATCTTTTGCGTAATTGACTGCATTCTAAGTGAATAAATTTCACTGCAATCTGTTTTTTTCGGACACATTGCACAAAAGGCTACCACCATTAAAGCCATTAAGCCCATAGATATTAGCAGTTTCTCTTATCTGCGCATCATTTTGGTATTTTCAATTTTTCTAAATCCATTTCGATTTGATTTTTCAATTAAAAAAGTCCATAAAAGTGGTGGTCAAACGATAGGCGATCTAACAATAATTAGAATGCTCTGGCCATTTGGGGGAGAAGAAATTAATAAAAAAATAGGGCAGCAAAACGGGTGGCAGAGGGGGGTAAAATATGCAAAATTGCGGGCAAAAAGCGTTCATTATGTTATATGGCTCGATATGTCAACATGGAAACCCCCAAAAAACCGTCTGATTCCCCTGTACCCGTCACCACCTCATATTAGCAATTCAAATTTGCCCATTAAAAACGAGAGAGAGAGAGAGAGAGGAGAGAGCCGGCGACAGGACAGCGACTACAAAAGTCAAATATTGCCCAATTTCAAGATTAATTGTCTACGCACCTTACGGACGCCCAAAGCCGAATACCAGGACAAGGACCAGGACCAGGACCAGAACCAGAACCACGACACCCCAACTCCCAGCCGAGATCTTAAAGGGTTATTCGTCCCACCGACAATTAATGCAGAACTCAATAAACTTTTGTCGAATGAAATTTTATGCTAATTAGAAGTTGATTTTTTGATGCCCATCCACACACAAAAGCGTATCCAAATGATAATGCCTCGGACAGGGCCACAGCCTACTTGAGACAGGACTCGGGTCCAGCTTGGTCCTCGGTCTGAGCTCCTTCCCTGATTGATTTGCATTTCTAAATGCGTTGTCGGCATTTGTCGTAATTTGCTGTTGCTGCTGCGTCTGCCAGGGCAAAATGTTGTCGCATTTTCGTTATAATTATGCATTTTAATTATCTCGATGAAGACGCCCGCCCGTCCGTCTTCAGCACGGGCCACAAAGGGTTAAACTTGGCTTGTTTGCATTTGGCCATCGTTTGGATTGGGTTTCGGGGGTTTGGTGTCCTCTAAACGTATGCTAATTTATCATTCCGGTCCTGCTTAAAATTGCTAAATTTGTCTTCTGCTAGACAGAGGTTGACAAAAGACCCAGATGAAGGCGATTGGGTTGTTAGTTGCCAAGAAATTAAATAGAGTAGTTGAGAAGCCTGGGTTATTGGAGGGTATTATCTGAAAAATAATATATTTTTAATATTTTATGACCAACTAGACTTATTTTTAGAAGTAATTCACATACTTTAGACCCTTTGAAATGTTGCTAAAAATTCAATTAAGAAATAGCTAAAGAATCTTCTTAGCTAAGATGTATTTCCCCCCAAAACCATATTGAGACATAAGGATTAAATTGATTTTTAATTATTTACCAACAGCCTGGTCCTGGTGCAAACATCTTCTTCCCCTAGCCTCGTACCTGCATCATCTGTGAGGCATTTCCCTGGCCTCCAGCTGTAGTTAACTCCCTTATCGAAACCGCCTGCCTGGTGGTCTTCAGCCTCGTTCCAGTTCAGCATGACAAAAGCAAACAATTTATGTCATAGCAACGCCGCTTTACATAACTCACAAGCAGCCGCTCTGCCCGACCTGGCTTGGCCGGCTTGGTTTTCTTAACGTGGCTCGAACGATGATGGGCTGCCGGATTGCCGGATTGCTCTCGAAGCCTGGCTAAGCAGCCCGTGGGCTAAGCGTGCTGCTGATGCGACGATGACGATGACGAGAGGTTGGGATGATGAGGCTGCCTGCTGGTCATTGCGCATGCCAGACTCACCAGTTGCGGCAGCCCAAGTCCAGCCAGTACTACTACTGGCCACTCTGGAGACTCTTCTCCACTCATATATGTATATGATTTCGACGAATGCTCGTTATCGATTTGAAACTTATATGGAAAAAACTAATGAAAATCAGGCAACATCATCATGCCGCTTTGCGGATGCTGCCAAAGGAACGGAATCCCGTCCAAAAGGGTAATGAAGGAAAACCAACCGAAAGTCAAGCGAAGCTCTTGGCCAAAAGCGAATTAAATTAAATTAAATGAAAACTAAATTCAAATGAGTTTTCGGTGGCATTAAGAGGACAGACAGGAACAAGGCGAGGCGAAAAAAAAATGAGGATGGCATCGGTTGAATCGCTTAGGGCCTCGGTCCCTGTCCCTGTCCCTGTCGGTATCCGCTCTGCTGATTGTTGTTATTATTTCTTGTGCTGAACGGGTTTTTGTAATGAATTAATCCTCGCAGCGCTTGGCAATTTGACTGTTGGTGGCTTTTGCTTCGTTTCGATGCAAATCAGCTGATGGCCTGACAGTTGACCAAGATGGGTACAGTGTCCTTAATAATTTTTGGTGGGTATGTAATGAGCAAAGACTAAGAGGAAAAAGGTATATAATTATAAATTAAAGTAAGAAGTTTCCAAAACAATTTTATATTGAATTTATTTGATATATTTTTGGCTTTGACAAGGGGCCTCGTCAGTTATATATCCTGATGGTTGTTCTTATTGCACGTCACTGAATTTGTACTTGGGAATTTTAGTGGGATTTTCTCAACAACTTTTTATGTTGTTGGAGATGTTTCTTTCCCTTTCCGATTTATATAAATTTATTTAGCCAACTATTTCTGTCATTTTCCATAGGTTTTCCTAGGTATTTTCTTAGAATTTCATATAACAAGTACTTATTTTTCTTGAACAAAAACTACTTTCAACTTTAACCTTTTGACTTCTTGATTTTCTTTACTTATGGAAAATTTATCTCCACAATTTTTTAACACAGTTCCACTATACCTTCCTCATCCCTGTACTTGACGTCTCAACAAAACGGAATGAAGGCAAAATAAGGCAAAATCAGGGAAGAGCAAAACAGCGCAAAACATCAGCATCAGCAGCTTGCAAAGAGACAAATGCAAATTGCATGATTTCTTTTGTAAATAAGAAACTGATGAGGAGGAGCAGGAGGAACAGGAGGAGCAGGAAGAGCAGGAGGATCGGAAGGAGTAGCAGGAGCAGGAGGAGCAGCAGGAGCAAGAGATTCCGAGGAGACCAGAGAGTGGCAGCTGGTGAACTCGTCGCGAAATGAAATCGATGGCCCCCAACGATTGACATGTGCAGGCAAAGGACAGTTGGGGACAACTTATTGTCGATGCAAAATAAGTTGTCTCCTGCCAGCGACGGAAATTAGTTTAATTGTACGAAGGAATTGGCATTGGCCAGCGGATGTGGCGGCAGCTGCAATGTGCAAAAAAAAAAGTACAAAAAATTTCGTCAAAAAAGGACACTCAAACTTTTTCGATGGCTTCTCGCTGGGTAGGTGATTAACATTTAAGCGAGCTTTTTGGGGTTGCCAGGCAAATTGTGCATTCCATCAAACATTTATTTAAACTTTTGCGGCCCAGTTGTCCAGGATCTGATGCCTGATGGGCAGCAGCATCCCAAAAAAAGAAAGGAAGGAGTTGAAATAAAATGCATCGCATACTCTTTGGCGTAACCGCATAAAACAATTTTCATTTCCTTTCAACTACCAGGGCAATAAAATATATATTCCCGTGCACAAAAAAATATATATGTATATGTATATGGGTAGGGCGTCGTCCTGTTTCGTTTCGCTGCAAACAGGTAACATTGAAA